AGATGTTCCAGATCGAAGTCCAGTAATGATTCTGGCTGCTTCTTATTGAATAGATTCTAGAAGTTCTTTAGATTATTGAGTGCAATTATCCCATACTATGTCTGCATATTCCAAAATTGGCCTAATAAATGCAATATAAATTTTAATTAATGATTTACGATTGACTTTAGTTTTAATGTAACGAAAAATATTTAATCTACTATAAGCTTTTTCATATATATTCAGAATGTGTTGTTTCCAAGATGTTTCATCTTAAGTCAGTCCTAGGTGTGTATGTGCTGTTGAGTCAGTGATTTGGCTGTTTTGGAAAGTTATTGGAGGGTGATGTTTGTTATTTTTTCTAGAAAATATTACAGATTTAGTTTTGTTAGGGTTGAATTTGATGTCCCATATACCTGCCCGTTCACCAATGTTAGAGAGATCATTTGTCAGAACTTGTGCTGCATGTGCTTGATTTTAATCTATAATTACATATAAGGAGGTGTCATCTGTAAAAAGCTTAGTATTAGTTGAAACATTGTCAGTGATGTCATTAATATAAAGGAGAAATAGTAAAGGTCCCAGAACAGATCCCGGAGGTACCCCTGTATTTATGTCCTTAAACTCTGAGTGATAACCTTCAGTGGTGACTCTTTGCAATCTAACAGAGAGATAATTTTCAAACCATAAAAGTAGATTTCCATCAATTCCATACGTTTTAAGTTTATATAAGAGACCTTTATGCCACACCCTATCAAAAGCTTTGCTAATATCGCAAAAAATAAATCTGAGCTCCTTTCCCTTGTCCATATTGCTAACAATTTCATTATAAATAAATAGTAGTTGATTAACAGTAGATTCACCTGGTATAAAGCCAGACTGGTGCTTAGTTAAGGTAGAATTTTCAATAAGATAGTTGTAAAGATTTTTGAAGACAATTTTTTCCATTATTTTACTGGAACATGAGGTTATTGAGATTGGTCTATAATTTAAAACATCATTTGATGAACCCTTCCCTTCATATATAGGTTTATATTTGCTTGTTTCAATCTATTTAGTAATATTCCTGATCCAAGTGTTTTGTTAAATAAAAGACAGAGGGGTAATGCAAGTGAGTTACTCATTTTTTTTTTACAACTTTAGGGATTACACCATCAGGGCCATGGGGTTTATTTACATTAAGAATATTAATTTGGTCAGGTACATCTTATTCAGTGATATTTCTGTTAGTTAGTGAGTAGTGCTGTACTGTCTGAGGTAATTCAAGGTCAGGGGATGACGAGGAGATATTAGTAAAGTGATTGTTAAGGACTTCTGCTTTGTCAAGAGGATGGTGAATTAATTGGTCATCATGTTCAAGAGGAGGAATAGAAGGGGATTTGTTGGAGAAATTAGTAATAGATTTTTCAATCTTCCACCATTTGTCTGGGGAGACCATGTTTTCATTAAGACAATTGTCATGTTTTTGAATATAATTTGCTTTTTCCTCACGAATCAAGTCAATAGTTTCATTCCTGAGTATACGAAATCTTTCCCAGTAGTGCGGATTATTTGTAACTTTGGCCTTTCTATGAATTCTATTACGTTGTCTCATTTTCAGCCGAATAATGTTATTCATCCATGGCTTATCATTTGGACGTACAGTGCTTGCTTTGGTAGGGATGAAACTATTGACTTGTTCTATGATTGAATTAATTATAAATGAGTTAAATGCATCAGAGTCCATATTTAATGACAAATTCAACCGACCAATATTGAAAGGGCATTATTCATACTTTCAAAATTAGCTTCATCATATTTACATCAAATACTTTTCTTATAATTCACTTGTTTAAATACAGTAATAGAGATTTGGGCATGAACTGATGAATGGTCACTACAGAAGGGTGGTGATACATAATGATTTTTAATTAAGTTTAGGTTGTTAGTAAAGATGACATCAATAGAAGTGGCACTATCAGGTGTTATTCGTGTAGGTTTATCAATAAGACTAGTTAAGTTGTGCTTTATAAGGAGTCTTGATAAATGATCATTTAGTGGTACATTAAGCATATTAATATTAATATCACATGTAAGTATAATATCCAATGAAGTATCAGAAGCTCTAGTTAAGGTATAATCAAGTTTATCCCAGTATTCAATATTACTATCTGGTCTATAAATTCACCCGAGAAGAAATTTATGATTATAAATTAATACTTCTAACCAGAGTAATTCAGCATCATCCCTTTCCAAGTCCAGCCTTCTTTTTGTTACAACAGTATTGTTATGATACACTGTACCCCCACCCCCCGGACCAGTAGTTCTATCTTTTCTATGAGGAATTGGATTAAAGGGTTGTACTTGAATGTCAAAATCAGATATCAGGGGATTTAAGTGAGATTCAGTTATACATAAAATATCATTATTTTCAAACTCGGCTTCAATAAGTGGGGTTTTATTTCTGAGAGATCGTACATTGAGATGAACCAGATTCAGATTATGTTTAGGTCCAGGATTACTTTCAATGTCACAACAACAGGATAACACTATAAAATGTGAAACAAGAAAGTAAGACATATTGATAAAATAGGTAAACATGTCAATTAATTGCAAATAAGAGTAATGAAAGCCATAACATAGCTGCATACAAATGTGTATGCGCTTAGAAAACTGCCAGTGATCAACCTGGACATCTATTATATTACCCATTGTCAATGTAGAAAAAGCGGGCAGAGTGGGCTCGGTCGATCATCCAGCTGTTAAAAATGTATTCAGACGGGACATATGAACAGTTGTTGAGCAAGAATGTGAGATAACAATAAAACAGACAGGACAATACAACTTCCATACACACACTCACAACAATAACACACAAACACATGCTATTAAACGGAAGCGGAAACTACTCATCAATGTGCTTGAGATGCTTGAAAGCATAGGTCTTCGAGTAATACTTATATAATACATCCAGATTTTTTTAATATAATTGCAATGGTCATTAATATCAATATAGAGCATACATATGCAGATTTTTTTTTTTTTTTTAAAAGAATGTTTTCGATTAAATAGACATACTAGTAGTGAAAGTATAAGAGAAAACATGTATGTGAAATATCTATGTTGAACTCCACAAGCCCCTGTGATCAACACAATAACGCCTGCAATTATCTTTACTAAACGAAAAACACCACTAGAGTATCATTTGCAAAAATTCACAATCGCGTTGTCGTTTTTCTTTTGCGAGTGTTTAGAGATACAGTGGCAGTAGAGTTGAGATTGCATGCGCTTATAGAAACTTAAAATTAAAACAAAAACTTAAATACTTATATTAAGGTTTTCTCTGTCTCTTTTTTAACTTATAATTTATATTTAAAATTAAAAATGCCCGCCTTATCGCCAGTCCACACAATTTCGTTCAATAGTTTTTGAACAGCATATTGTCGTGTGCTGATTGGCAAACAAAGTAGTTCTTTGAAATTTTAACAAACACTTCAATTTTATACCACAATTAAGTATCAATACAATTGCGTATGATATGTATATAGGGTGATTGAAGTTTATCAATAGAACTCTGAGCTGAAAGTTAGATTTTAAATTGTTTCGATTTTCCCCCGGAAAAAAAAATCGCGCATGGACAAATACAGTGAACACCGTAAATCCGACCTTGCCCTCCACGAGGTGGTTATTTTTGGAAGTTTATTCGACTTTTTCTCTTTGCTTATTTTGTGAAGAATCCAGGCGTGAATTTATTTGTTGATTGTATGGGAACCTGACAACAGTCGGTAGATTCTATAACAGCCTTGTTATTTGACCTGTCGTCAGAATTAAACTGAGGAACCGTAGATGCGAGACGCGTGAAACTGATAGCGTTTGAAGTGAGTGATCTTGCGACGGAGCACAGGTAAGGTTCGTTACAAATGTCTGAAATGGTTTTGTGTGCTGTGACTCATTTCAGTAGGTCTGTAACATATGTGTCAGTAGGTCTATATAATGTGTATTTCAGACATTTGTAACAAACCCCTGTTGACCAGTGCAGTGTAACAGACGAAATTTCTGATAATTTGCGTGAGCCTTAAGGGATGTTGGTGTAATACGTAGCACGTATGTTTTCTGATGATATCTGTGATTATGAGGTTTAAAATATAAACGTCAGAAAAGTTTCAATCCGAAAACCTTTGACCGTTGACTTTTGACCTTTTGGTTTGGAATTGACCTTGGTGTTTTCGTGTCTGATTGGTATGTATCACATCTTGTAGTCGTGATACACAAGTCAAGTTTCAGCCGTTTGAAAGTGTTCATCATTGATTCCCTGATTATGCCGTAAAATGGTATGACACGGTTTCTGTTAAAAACTACTAACTGAACAAATTAGGGAAAACTTCGCTATGCTGCCATCATTTGCCCAGAGAAATTTCGGCGTTAAAAAGGGGTTTGGAGGTAACTTGTATTAGGGAAATGTATAAAATAATTCCTAAGAAAACAAGAAAAAGGGACATTGAAATATGCTGGTGGTAAGCGAGGTGACAAATGAGAAAAAGTGGCATTATATCGAGGTTTTACTGTAATATGTTTTATCCCAAAGTCGTAAATCTATAACTATTAAAAGGCGTCTATAGGCACCCTTCCAATGCAGAAAGTCTACATATGTTTCCGAACACTTCACAGTCTTTCAACCTTAAATACCCCTGATGGGTCCTAGTTGGACAAAGTGGTCATATTGTGCAATAAACTGTTAACTTTGTTTGATTTTCTGCATCGACATACCACATTTTCGTAACAAGAGCTCATTTCTTAATAATTTTAGTATGGAACGCCAAATTAACATATACTCCAACAACAATTGAAAATTGGTACAATTAGTAAAACAAAAATAACGTATTTTTAATTGATTCAACCTATCTTTATTTACTTGAAGATAATAATAATAATAATAATCTAAGGTTCTCATATACCGCCTTATCACAACCTAGTTCGTAGGTCGTCTCAAAGCGGTTCATAAATTATTATCCGTGGTTAAAGGCCCTTTGCAACCAGCCAATATCTTTCCCAACTCCCTGAGGACCATACAGCCGGTGCTGCCATTTCGGCGCTCACAGCTAACATTCTACATTTTTAGCACTGCCTTACCTCGTACCGATTTACAGCTGAGTATACTGGAACAAGCAGAGTAAAGTATCTTGTTCAAAGATACTACAGTGCTGTACCGTGACTCGAATTCGCAACCCTTCGGTCCCGAGCCCAGCGTCCTACCACTAGACCACCGTGCCTCCAATATGTGTGCATTTATTCAAATATATGTTAATTTGGCGTTTAATATATAAGTTATCACGTGATAGTGTCCTATAACATCTTGACAAGATGTACACACCATCTTGAATTGATGTACATGCTAGCACCTTTAACGTTTCTATAAATAATGTTCAGCAGCTCAAAATCACACCTGGGCTAACATCTGACAACCTCCTGTGATAGTTACTTTTTGAGGTGTGAACATTTCTATGTTATTTCACGTACCATATATGTATCATCAATCGATATTCTGGGAATGCATTTCGGTTTGGATTCGTAAACAATTCCATTACTTCTTTTTGGGGGTAAAATTTGAATTTGAATTTGAAGATATTTGATACGATATAACCCACATAAGAGCCCCATGTGTTATTGTTTAATATAAGTTTTTCCTGAAAAGAATACTCTCGCCAGCTGTCAATAAGGACACAAACTTCACTCATAAGGGTAGGGATAATTAATTACAGGAAACAAAGTATTTTAGTAAAGGCTGGAGATCCTCAGTGAAGTTATAGCAAGCATGGTTCAATGACTATATAGCTTATATCACCAGTTGTAATGTTCAATTTCCTCGATATGCTTTGCATTGCATACCGGGAAATTTTCGTTAACTTTTGCCTTATCAATCAGAACGAATTTATCATGAAAACAATTATTATTAAACAACATACAATATAATACTATAGTTTTTACCTGTGAAGGGCGAAATTAACATAAGGCGATCATGGATTGTATTGGCAAAGGGCAATTATTTGACTGAGCGAAAGTTTCCCGGTTTTGCTTTCAATTGCGAGCTGATGATGAATAAGTCAATTTCTAAAATATAATGCTTCCGGTAAGAAGATGCATCATTTTATTTGGTGATATTTGAATAAAAAAATAAACATTTCAATTTAAGAAATACTATTAATGGCGCATGTAAAACGCTTTTATTAGATCGTTCACACATTACATATAGTGGTCATCATAACAATTGAAACATTTTACATCAAAACTTGCATTGGGATATATTTGTGCTATCTATAACAATAGGACATATTAATCAGAATTTAAAAGCTATTCAACAGTTTGTGAAGCTGCTCCAGTTGCACACTCTGAGAGCGCGGTCATACGCAGTGTTCCCGGGGCAATTGTATAGATGAGCTACTCCGTGCGAACATTTGTAAAACGTTCTACAGTCGTTTGTATTTGGGTATGGTCCGCCAGTTGGCGAGGTATTACAATCGATGAAGGCTGTAAAAAATCATATACAAATCATCAACAAAAAGAAACCATTCTTTCAATATATTATGGTTATTAATATTATATTTTTTTAGGATTATTCAAATTTTACATATCGCTCTTTATACTCTAAAAGAAATGTATGGCATGGTCTAAAGGTTGTGTAGTATGTATCACTATGAATGTGTGCCTGTGCATGGTCTAAAGGTTGTGTAGTATGTATCACTATGAGTGAGTGTGTGCCTGTTCACGGTCTTTATAGTGTGTGGTGTATATATCACTATGAGTGAGTGTGTATATGTGTATGGTCTTTAGGCTGTGTGGTGTATATATCACTATGAGTGAGTGTGTGCCTGTGCATGGTCTATTGGTTGTGTGGTTAATATATCACTTTGAGTGTGTGTGCCTGTGCATGGACTTTAGCTTGTGTGGTGTATATACCACTTTGAGTGTGTGTGCCTGTGCATTGTCTTTAGACTGTGTGGTTTATATACCACTAAGAGTGTGTGTGCCCGAGCATGGTCTTTAGATTGTGTGATGTATATATCACTATGAGTGAGTGTGTGCCTGTGTATGGTGTGAAGGTTGTGTAGTGTATATATAACTCTGTGGATATTCTCATTGATCCCTATTTCTAACAGCTTATTTAACGTTCAATACCATTTTAATACCGAATGTTACAGCTCAACCGTAATACAATAAATATACCACGTGTCCTCTACTTCAGAGAGAACGATTAGAGTAACAAAGGCATGTCTTCCTCAAGAACAAAACCATATCTTGTCGTCTGAATAGAACGTCCGACCTTAAGCAACAGTGTAACATAGGTTAACTTGAGATTCCATTATCATATGCTGAGCAAATGCTAAAAGGAAGTTTTGTTTTAAAAGCATGTACACCGAGAGGTACGCTTTGTAAAACGATAGTCTCAAGCCCTTCACAGATCAAACTGAGTTAGTTCGAAGATCTTAAAGGACATGTCCACCAAAAATATGCCCATGATGGGAAAAGAATGTATAAAAGGTGGTTGAATTATCAATTGTTAGCTATTTGTCGAACAAAACCTGTGAAGACAAAAATACTTATAGAATTTTGGGCCATCTTTGTCTCAAGTGATGACACAGCTGAGACACTTGATGAAGCAAGATGTTGAATTAGTCCGGGGCTCAAAACAAAACAGTGCCAAACAGAAGGTGAAATATATTCTTTGATATAAAATGGTGCCTCAAATAGGAGTTGTCCGAGTTCCTACTCAAGATGAAGTCACGAAAACAATTCCTGCAGTGTTTTCAGTGTTTGGTGAAGGGACACCCGCTATGTAAATCTAGGTCAAATCCAAATCATGCCACGTCCTCATATCGAGAACTCGGGTAGTGACAACAGAACCACAAGGCTCACTTATAGGCATCATAAAAAAATACACTGATCTTCGAATCAAACCAGGAAGTAACATACTTCCCTATGAGATCATTATAGCAACCATAAAACTGGTAGTCCATAGTCTTCATCAGCCTTCATCTTTTAAAACCTTGTGGTGTAAGTCTATCCGTCAGCACTCGACATCTTTCTCTACGAAAGTTATTAAATTCAAAGCAAGTTCTTGAATACTGAACTTTTTTTGAGAACAGGATGTTCAAGATTGATCAAAAGATCTTTGAAATTCTTCAAAATCCATTCCATTTATTTCACTTCAAAGCGCTAATGGAAAATAACGGATGTTGAGATACCAGAGTACTTTACACTTAATTCACGAGTGAAACTGACAGTTCAGAATATAATTTTGATTAAATTTGATCGCATGGTAGAACCAGAAAAAGGGCGACAAGATCAAATCTCACATCAGTATTCAAGAATGTATCAAAAGAATTAAGGAATGTCTCTACAGTTATGAATGTATAGAGACATAGATAAATTTGTCAGCAATTGGAGATAAAAAAAAAAAGCATTGGTATATCGCAAAGGCCATGGCAGAAGCGTGGTAATAACATGTTCACGCTCAACCAGTAAAATATTCTCATGAAGATCGACTTCTTCTTCATTATTTGTTGAAAAGGAAAGGTACTCGAATGATATAATCGGATGAAACCGCTAACTTTCTAACATTCTTACCAGGAATGTTATTTATCACATATATTAATACCTTTAAGAATGTAATTTAACAAAAGTTAGCATTATTATGAAACTATTGATGCTTATACCTTCTTGGGTTGACGATGGAGGTAGTGTAGTGGTCTCACTCATAGTGGTGGTATCCCAAGTGGTCGTAGGGGAAGTAGAATCGAAGGATTGAATTGATCCATTCGAATAGCCGGTCAAAACATTCTTAACGGTCGAAATGAGGGGGAAGGGGCCATTGGATGACATGCAATTCCCTCTAAAGTCGTCCAGATCCAACGCCCAAACCATGGCGCCACCATATCCCTCTTTTGCAAGCCATATCATCTGTAAACCAACGTTTGATCATTCTACTACAAATTGTTGTAAGGAATAAATGCTACTTCATAAAAAAGCTCCTCCACTCCAATTTTGTTGATACCAAGTGATACCTTTAATTATGTTTCATCGTTTTTGTTCCAAAAATAATGTTCATCTATTTCGAACATACGGTCGGGGAAATTTTTTACAGTCATTTGACATCTAGTTTGGCTTCTTATAATTAACATATTTAAAAATTTCTTACAAAAAACAAATTCTTGGCTATTTACAAGATATGGTCGAGAAAATTTGCAAACTTACAAACGAAAAGAAATATGTGCTATATATCCAAATACTTTATAGTTCCCGTTGATAACAATTTTGTCCTATAATAAGAATCTGTCATGTAGTATTTATATTGTTCATGACAAAAGTCACAATAGTTAATTATAATGATACCTACATTGTATACAGGGTTATACTTATGATACTGAATGAAAATTATGTGGCAGAGAATGAAAGACAGTACCTTATTCATGATGCTAGTTTCGTCGTCATAACCAATCCATTCGTCTCCGTACATAAAAGGTACACTCGATTGGTAATCACGTGTTCCATTTAAATTGCAGATCTGTAACATAAAACACGGGCAATAACTTCACCTATTAGTCACAATAATTCATTTCTCATCACTGAAGACGATAAAATTGAAGCAAAAATGTTTTTTTTAATTCATAATGGCACTCGAATTCATTAGGAAATGTTTCGGTTTATTTATATATAAAACTTGTTACCTCGTAATAAGCAAGGAAGCCTGCCTCTTCTGTGTAATTGCCTGGGGCGCTAGGTCCATTAAAAGGATTTCCAATTCCATTCTTGTTTGCATAATCCACATCAAAGCCACGTCCGAATGTGGCGACACCTATATTGATTTTTTCTTTGTCAACGCCAAGCATTTGCCAATACCTTCCAGCCCAATCCTAAGGGTAACAAAGTGAAATAAGTACTGTTGTCCGCAGTGCAGTTGTTTCATACATTCAGCAATGATCCAATTTACATGTCATTGTCTGGACAGAAGGCCATTATCTGAAATATTTTTTGTTTTGGATTTTTTGTATAAGCAATCAAATTCCCAATGTCTAATGACCATATGAATAAGGGATCGATTCAGGTGCTATTACAAACCATGTTTAGATTGGCTTCGGTTCCAGTTTGCCACGGGAACGCTTTTAATTGACTGTGATGACCGGTCTCTTCGTCCCAGTAGCCATGCATGTCAAACGTCTGGATACTGAGGAAGTCCAAGCTTCTAAAATCAAAAGTTAAAGTTTTTAAACTCCGATCAAGCTGTTAGGAGTAAACAACTTATATCCCTGATTCGTGTAGGAAATCAAAATGTTTATCTTCTACATGAACCGATAATGACTACTCAGACGGTGAACACAAATATAGTAAAACCCCGCTGACTCAAACTCGTGAGGACCAAATCAATAGGAATACATGGTATTCGACGAATCTGAGGTTCATCCAACATCACCATGTTTTTGTCAGGTTGGACGGCAGACATCATGAGCACTGCAAATATCGCGGAAAGTATATGATAGAAACAAAAAGAAGTTCAATCAAAATGACAACATTTAAACAGATTTAGAATTGCTCAGCAATAAATACATATAACCTTCGGTATAACGAAAGGATTAAAATAAACAAGTTGTAATGAATATGTAACGTGCTTGTCGTTACCGGTAAACATAGCCCGCCATACTGTATTCGGCTACGTTAATTTTACAAAATATCAAATCGAAAGGAACTATTCGATGATTGTTAAATTGAAGAACAATTTGAATCCCTGTTATTATAATGTTGATTGATAACAAAATTAACAATCTCGACGTATTCAAGTTTAAATATCTTTAAAGATGGTCGATAATGCGCTTTGTGATTTCAACTTGATATTGCCATACCGAAACATGGCTTTCCACACCAAGTGAATTAACACTTTCGTTAAAACCTCGATGTCAAACATCGTCCGTAAATTATAAATAGGCACACACCATGATATTGCAGCTACAAATAGAACGAGGTAACGGTATCTGAACTTAATGATACTGCCATCAATCCTCTAACTATCTGACATCCTGCCCAAAGGCAAGTCGATTGCTCGCTGTATGTGAGATATATACAAATGCGGTGAAATCCATATTAGCCTAGTTTTAATTTCGCCATTGACGTTTAATTACCATGTAGTTTACGTTGTTTAATTATGTTTACTGTAATGATAACTTGGCCTTAGTCTTACTGATGGCGAAAAGGTGAAAATTAAACTGCAGCGAAAATATCCCTGTATGCAGTATCTGAAAGTTAAAATGAACTATTTGTCAAGGTTTCTATTGCTACTCCTTACAAACGTTTTCGATATATAATCGGCCTCATATGGAAAGAAATCTTGTTCGCATTTGAATGAATTGTTATAATTTCTTCTCAATATATCTCATTCTTGCATTCGTTTTGTTACTCACAATATGCTCCCAAATACCTGTGTACATTGTATTTATATTCGCCTTTCTTAGAAAAGGAAGCACTCATAACAAGGAAACGATGGCATTCCTTCAGTTTGATATGATGTATGGAAATGTCAACAGCGACAAAATAAAATGTGATAAAAGAAACCATTTTTGAGGAGAGCATGCTCAAGATTATTTCAAAGAGCTTTCGAATTCTTAAAATCAGCATCTGTATGATATATTGTCGTCACATTTTAATTCTGATTAAACAGAACTAAGAATGGTAGTAATATCAGCTTTGACGAGCAGAAGGCTGAGCATTAAAAGGATTATTGAGAAGTTTCGGGATAACATACTAGCAAACAATTGATTTGTACACATCTGAATTGTTCCGGTCGATGTAATGCTGTCATTTTTATGGTTTAAGGAGGTAGTGGTGAACATGATTGAATTGCGATTTTAAAGATTATTTTTGTGTAGAATGAATCATTAATTATGAGACTATTGTGTATTATTTCTTATTGTAAAACCACGACGTTTGTTGATTTTAGCCTTAATTGTACTTAGATATCTAAGATAATGAATTGTTTCTAACCACACATTACGAGTGACCAAATCACAAAGCTAGCCTTACTTAAATAGGTATTTCAACATGTAGGTATTTCAACATTACATAGCTGGTTGAGAAGGTAAAGTGTTGATCTATTTGCGATTGAATATTACAGTGTGTATAAGTTAGATGGGAGATACAGATTTACTCCGATATCTGAAGTATTTAATTGCTTAAAACGTTAAATGGATCATGATTAACTCAGAGGTATAACTGTTAATATCTTTACTTGACGGGTGATATAGTGAAACAAAATAGATGGAACATACCACAGTGTGAATACAAAAGGACGAAATCAGACGCGGAACCCAGCGACATAAACCTAGGAGACACAAAAACAAGAAGAAGGGCAGAGAGAAGGATAGTATCGTGACTGTAGTCTTACTCTGACAGGGCCTTCACGTCGTATGCGTAGTCAATGTGTTCTTGTTCCGCAGCCACAGCAGCTGTCAACATCAGCCGAGGTGTGTCGTCTGATCGCACTTCGTTTTCGAATTGCCGACTTAGTAACTGGGGAAAATAACGAAAGAGAGTTTATTCACTATTTCCAAAACATCTGTTGTCCATATATTTTTTTTTAAATATATAAGTTATATCAAGTCGAATGGCACCATTGGGTGAAAGCTACCTTATGGTATGTTTCAAATTTACAGAATGAGTAAATTATATATTTGTGCATTTTATTTACAATTGAAAGACGACAAAACATGACTTATAAGTAAATAAAATAGTATGTTTACTTTACGAATACATTAATCATTTAAATGTCACTTTCTAAATCTTTTCAGCAGGGCTGGTTATTACATTCAATGTCATTCTTTACTTATGTATGTACTTTTCTGATTTATTAGTGGGTGTTTTTGTTTTTTTAATATAAAAATAACGTTTGTTTCATTTTCTCGTCTTCAGTTCTGACCAAACTTCTACATATGTAGGTACAGTTCCCATATTTACAATATTTTGTTCGGTCTCTTGCAATTTTGCTGGTTTTTAACCAGAAACTAATATCGTATCATGCTTTAAGTATGCGTCGGACAATACTAAAAAAAATCATAGATTTGAGATTTAAATGAGATTTTAACTGTCGGCAATCTATTTTCATAAACATTTTCCTTCTTTGAATGTTCGCGCGCATGTTGCATACAAAGCAATAATTTAATACTAACATCGACGAGAATGCCAAAATTCTTTTTGTCCGTGTCTTCATTAGATCCTTCTCTTTGAGCTGGGTACTGCCATGCCAAATCAAGGCCGTCAAATCCATACAATCGTAGAAACGCGACGGTTGAATTCGCAAAGGTCCTCCTCCGTTTGGGTCGTGAAACCATGAAGGAGAAACTTTCACTTCCCTGTTCCCAACCACCAACAGAAAGCAACACCTTCAGGTCGGCGTTATTTGTCTTCAAGGCGGTGACACGTTCGTATCTGTTTTGTATAAAAAATACAAGTTTTGTGGCTTTTTTTGAAAAATACCCTGCTGATCCTATATCAGGATCTTGATACTACAATAAATCAACTTCTGCTAAAATAATAATACAATATATTCCGCATACCTACAATGTTAGTAAAATTTATAATATACTTGTCTGGGGTAACGGTTATTTTGCATATGCGATAATGCTAGCTACTCATATGCCATATCTCTGGCCGGCCCACATCCACACGGCATGCACGCACCATATCCATTTTACTTCCGGTTTTTCAGAAAAATCACGTCTGAATCATACTCGATTTGTGATTATGCCAATAATTTTGACGTTGTTCCCAAATTTGTACAACATGTTGTTATGAGAAAAGAATATTCCTCCCATGTATAAAACCCAAACCCGAATTGGATTGATAGGTGTGAGGATGATAAACGTGTTATATCATAACTTTTTTTCTATGAAGTGACGCATAAATAGATTTTTCTTAACCTTCACCAATTGTCATGAAATCGTTTGCAATCAAACACATACCAAGCAAAATTCATATGTGCACACAAATATACTTCTTACATCATCGTATCGTTCTCAGAGGAAGCCTGAAGCTCGCAATCGTCCGAAACCTCGGCAAAGGCTACAATCACGTGGGTACAGAGATTGGGATCTATGTCCTCAGCCATGAATTTGCCATCTCCTCTACGATTCTCCGACCACACGGTGAAGTAACACACTCGTCTGTACTCTGTCAAATGGTACATAAATGAGGATGAATATGATTAATATTTATGTACGTTTGTTTCCAATTGTATAAAACATGCAATAACTGAAAATCATCAATTTCGTATGAAGGTGTTACTTTCAAAATACTTTAACCTAATTAATCATCGATAAATACAACTCACGTTTTGGAGTGTCCGCCTCAACAAACACGTCCTTTACAGTGTTAATTAGTGGAAAGCGACGATCAGATTTGTTGCAGTATTGACTATAATCGTCGAATGTGAACGACCATACTGCTGCACCGCCATAGCCTTCTTCGACAATCCATTCCGCCTGTTTATTAGACACATATGGAACATACGCATGAAAAAGTGATCCCTTTTGGAGTGTGACTGGTAAAAGTGTTAACTAGAATAGGACCTTTTTTGAAAATTTAGGGATCAACTTTAGCTCAAAACTATGTATTAAGATTAGTATGCTATATAAATAGACACCTATAATATAATATGGAATATGGAAAAGCATTATTTGAAAATTACTACGTCTTTCTAGGTGCGATAATTTTCATGTTTATTACATAACTGTTCATTTCTATTAAATAAATTTTTCATGTTAATTACAGAACTGTTGATGTTCTGCTGTTAGTTTGTTCATGTTCGTTACAAAGACTGTTCATATACTTCTTCAGATAGTCTGTTAATGTTCGTTACAAAGAGTGCTGATGCTCTTCAGATAGTCTGTTCATGTTTATTGCATAGACTGTTCGCTTCATCAGATATATTTTTTATATTCATTATATAGACTGATCAGTTTTATCAGATAGACTGTCCATGTTCATTGCATAGCCTTTCATGTTCATTTCATAGACTGTCTGTGTTTAGGACATAGTCTCTTCTTTTTTTTGAATAGGAAGATTTGATATTTCCAATATTTATTTGACATTCAGACATTTGAAACAAGAGATAAAAAAGCATGAAAACTTTATATTGCCTTCTCTTTGAAGCTTTCTGTGTCATCATAACCAATCCACTGACTGCCATTGACGTAGTACGGCACACCATAATCTCTATACATGGCACCCTGGTTCATTTCGAGGGCTTTACATATCTGAAATGTTATCAAACATGAAGTTTTCACTGTATTCTATTGTATTTGGATTTTTAAAATGCATTTTTCCTTTATATCTACATCCCTAAACCATTCTTTTCAACATTAGTCACATTTATAATAAATCAACATAGTTTCTATCCAAGAATATCTAAGTAGGCTGTAGTAATGTTAGATTATGTCAGTTATACGCTCATTATAACGGATTATGGAGAGTATCGTTAGGTATACAGAACAACTGGATTATCAAGTGTTCTAGACATGAATGGTCGGTAAATAATTAATAAGTTATTTGCTATATCAATGCCTGTGATACCAACGTTCTTGTAAGTTTTCGAAAACAATTACAAGGAAAACTGAGGAAAGTCGAACCAGGTTTTTTTAACAGGACCATATATCTCTGAATTTCAAACTACTATGTTCAAATAATTAAATATTGTTCCTTTAAGATGGTGACACTCATTCCGAAATGCGCGGTAATGCGGCTCAACTTACCTCGGCACGGGACAAGTTGAACCAAAACCTGGGACAAATTGAGCCGTTCGGCACGGATAATTAGGGCTTGAGGTCCCGGGGTCATAACAAAGACCCAAGGACATGTAAATATATGCATGGTTTATGGGATATGTAATATTAGGTTTTTAGTACAATTGAAAAAGGTTAGAATTTTAAGGATGAAGACGAAAAATGACCCTTTACTTGAAAATTTCTTCAGGGTGGGCAAAAATATTCATCATTGATGCAAAATATGTTTGCTCTTATAATAGGTCTTTGCTTTTTATTGTCAAGATGTTCAAACAAATGTGGCATCAGAATCAGTGAAAGTAACGTCAAAACCCTTTGTAATACTCTTTGCCCCTGCTGACTCAACAAACCCCGTGGTTACATTTAATTTGCTCACCAAGTACTTGGTTTGTGGGCTACATTTTTCAGTTTATGTTTACTCGGTAGGTTACTATTTTGCATTTTAATATGAAACATTTTCTGCTTGAAAACCAATCCAGCGGAATGACCCTGGATTATTGAAGATTTCCATGTGTTCATTTTCATGGAAGTGTTTTAAAAAGATGAATTTGCTACCATTAGTATAATGTCTATACATTTATGCAAAATATATGTATGTACGTCGTACCTCACTGTGTGACATGTACCTCTACTGAGTTTTCAAAAACAATACGATAAAATGTCCCTAAAATCACTTATATCTCTCGATCTGAGGGCTACTTCCTCCCCAAAATATGACTACTCTCTGCCAGGAAGAGACTACTCCCTAATGAATATTTGTAAGCGGAGCTTATACAATTTCAACCAATGAAACATTTGGTAGGCGGTGCCTTCTTCGTGACGCAGGTGACGTCACAATTTAAAACCAAAGGACAACAGCGAAAATGGCCATCGATGTAGGCCGTTTTGATACATGTAATCTTACTGATTAGGAATTACAGCATAGTTTGGACGCTAAAAATATAGCTTAAATATAAAAGCTATTGTTAAGACAGTACTTCATTACTTATTTAATTGAACGGAATGCCGGTGGCGTCGACGATTAGGACAGAGCAAGCCCAGAGGCGGTGAACGTGTGTACATGCAAGTGTTATGCTTATATGCAAGTGTTATGCTTATAAAGTGGATGGGACTAAATATGGTAGGAAATCAATAGTGACTATTAGATATGGTCTACATAAATACTTCTTGAATGCTAGAAATGAAGATATCATCAACGACGATTCATACAGCACTTCCAATTGTGATGGGGTTTTTTCTGTTTGAAATTGTTTCAAGAAATGAATTATTAAATCCATTTGTTAAGTTGCATTAATTTGTTTCGTTATGATAAAGCATTTATAGAGTGGGTAATTCGTGAAATAGCAAATGTATGGTCACCCTTGGTGAAGAACTATTTCTTCAGCGGCTTTGCCGCCTCTGGAAATAGTTCTTCATCTCGTGGGATCATAAATTTGCTATTTCCCTCATACCCATTCTATAACTGTATAATATTATACAGTGTTACATTTTTTGTCACATACCTCCTGATTTTAATATATTTGGGTTTTTTACAACTCATTTCATAGATATTCCTTATTGTTTAACGTTTAAACGTAGTTTATAACGTAACATGAACGTACCTCATAATAAGACATGAAGCCTAGGGTTTCAGAGTAAAGACCCACAGTGCTTGGTCCATCATTATTTGCTCCAACGCTGAAGTCGGATTCGTTAGCAAGTGTATAACCTCCTCCATAGGTTGCCATTCCTACATTAATCATCGATTTAGGAATTCCAAGAAAAGCAAAATACTCGGCAATCGATTTCTGTAAGCAAAGAAGCAAATGCTATGTTCATCCAATCATAAAGATTAATCATTTGTAAAATAAATTGCGTTTTAAAATTAGCTAATAAAAAAAAGTGAAAAAATCGATTTCTTGTGTACCATATTGCCAAACTTTTCTGCCCCGACGGCACCGTCCCTAGCAACCCTGCGGCTGTGATGAGCAGTTACGCTGGAGCCGCTAAACAGACTGAAAGACTCTGTATTGACAAAGTCATAGTTGTCCCTGTAATAAAAAAGGCAGATTCAGCAGTTAAACATCAAAGAAGTAAAATATTTCAAAATCGAATATCCATTTAAACCAAGAAAAACAAGTGTGACGTTGCGATTAACCACGACAGACAATGGCGATGTTTATATTAAGATCATCCCCGACCATAATACATAGCTGATATACATAACAGGATCAACACAAAGGGTAAAGCATGCTCGATGATCAGAAACGGACAAATGATATCAAAACGGGAAAACAAAGGGACAAAACACAAAAGTCTTTAGTTGCAGCAGACATTTCTTTGTTGGAAATCACTTCACGATGAGACTCGTTCCTTCAGTGAATATTGAAGCCTTTTCAGTAGAAATCCTGTTTCAGTTATTTTTTAATAAGGATACGTATATATATAACATTCTGATAACAGACACAAAAGTAACTATTCAATAACTAAACATTTTCATTATAATAATATTCAATATTCATCATTTTTAATAGCTATTGGTATCTTCATAAGAAAAGCCAACAGATCAGCTGAAAGTCATCGTAAGTAAATCTCAATTAAGATACTGAATATTGAAACAATTTAGCTCCTTGATTAATAAACACGTTTGTTACCAAAATCATCTTGTAACAAAACGGAATTCCAAAATGTAAACAAAACCGTCTTAGACTATAAATTGATAAAGCTAAGGCAAAAAATGAATCAGGAAAGATTTTCATTGAGACACTTGACTAAGTACGAGGGAACTAATATTAGGTGTTAAATAAAGGTACAGTGTAATTGGCTTGTTAAAGACGATACTCGCCATGAAATCTTAGGTCAAAGGTCAAGTTAATGTCACTTCCTCAAACCTAGAAATCGGGTAGTGACAACAAAAGCCCAAAACACAGTAATGAACATAATCAAAAACATCGACCTTAATATCGCACAACGAAATAGCATGTGTTCCTATTAGATCGTGATTTCAACCGTTAAACTGGCCCCTAGTCTTCATCAATCTACATCTTTGGAAAGTCTGTGTTGTCTAGGAAGGAAGTTATGATATGCGGTTAGGTTATAAATCTACGTAAACATTCAAAGGGTGTATTTCTAGATAAACATTTAAAGGGTGTGCATCTACGCGATAGAGTTTTTTTACTTGAATATATACAGGGTGTGTTACTAAATAAACATATACAGGGTGTGTTTCTTTACAGTTTTTCACTGGGGAGATAATTATATATGATTTAATCGTGGATATGTAAACATGCTATGGCACGGAGTACAATGAACACACTTATATGAGCTGGTTATTGAATAATGAAAAGGAATATCTAAACTAGTTTAAAAACTTTAAACTAAAATTTGAAACTAGATACAATATTTTGAATTATTATTATGTGGGCAATGCCATTTTGCGTCAATTGAAAGGATTATGCAACAAATGCACAGGCCATGTAATATCATTTCGCCCGGTCACATTTAACTGACATCTGGTGAACTAGTTGCAATAAATGTTGAACGTTAAGCAAGGAATAACAACTACCAATTTTAACGACATCGGTATGTCCAAGCCAGGGGACAGAACCCATTGCCTTTCTCACCTAGGCGAACGTTCAACATTAGCCAAAATTGATGATTTGCCAAACAAGTTGCAAGGAAACAAAAGGTAATTCGAAGTAAAGAGAAATACAAAGATCCCAAATATTGCAATGAGTGCAACAGATTTATTTTAGTATCTTTTCTGTTCCAAATGAGATGGTAAAACGCAATTCTTCAGTCTGCAGTGGGTAACCTCATTAGTTGCCTCTTACGACCGTGCAGTGGATATTATTTTTCAATCTCCAACCTGCAGGAGTATTAAAGCCAACGCTGTCGAAGGAAACTGTCATTATATGAATAATGGTCTACCGTTAATCGCTTAATTCATGATTGATGTTCAGAATAGTGATGTTAATAAGAGTAATTGACATCAATTGAACAGATGATGTTCGTACCCCGGTGTATTCCTGGTTGATTAAATGTTAAAGTGAGAAACAATTTTCGTAAACGATATTTTGTCTTTAGAACATAAAGTATGCATACTCAGTATTACGGGAAAAAATGTCATTAGCTATGAATGAATGAAGAAAATAAACTTACATAATGGTTGATTTGATGGTATATTTATCATAGTATGCGTCTACGTCTTCAAGTGTTTGTCCTACCAGATCAGCAACAAGCAGCAAGCGATCGGAAGTTGTGTTTTCGTTATCAAAGGCTGCACGTAGATCCTGTGATTACAAAGTCACAATTACTATTTTGTTGTGAATTGCTGACAAAAGTATTCAAATTGTTGTATTAAAGATCGTGTGTTCGACAGAAAATTTCATTTTTCAAACACAGGTTTCATCGAACAGATGCAAATGTTGTTAACCTGAATTTCAAGAAGAATTAAACGAGAAACCCTTCAGTGGTATACAAGCTAAAGTATTAAGGATAAAAAACACTTTATCATATAAACTTTATTTGTTTTACAACTTAATATACATCCTTAACTATTAATGTTATCACCTGCCTCCTTTAAAGTATTGATTCAGGAATTTATCGTACATTATTTGATATGCAAATGAGTGCACTTTCCTCAATGACATCATATATATCATAAAGATACGGGAGAAGTTGTTAAAGATTATCTTGTTTTAATGCTCGGTCTAAGGAGAATCTGATATACCCGGGTATTGGCCAAAGGCAAAGAACATGTCGGCATATGATCTCTATGATAGCTTAAGCAAGTTCATTCTTCACAATCATCTTTGTCACCAATATTTCAACTTTGAATGTAATATAGATAAGAAATTGTGCATACATCAATATCACAAAATGTTTTGATGCAACATGAACAAAACTATGTGTGGTAAAGGAAACAACGTGCAACAATTTCGTCCTTTAGTTAATTATTTTGAAGGTGTGCTCGGAGAATGGGGATCCGGATGTTAACTATAGCCTTTTCTACTGAGGTCAACATGGCAAAACTCATTGTTAACGCGGACACTGTTACATATATCAACAATGCCACAATACCCAATTCATTCACTTGTTGTTCGGATGTCACTCAATCTTAGAATGATCTTAACTAAGGGTCTGGTTTAAAAGGATGTTAGCATTCAAGCAATTGTCAACTTTCATAAACGTTTGTATATTGGTTTGATTTTATACCTGGCTCACTGTTAAGAAGTTAGTAGCGTTGGGTTTCTTCCAAGCTATAGCAAACCCATCAAAGCTGTATTTTCTGCAGAAATCTATGGCAGACTGAGTAAACGTGGCTCTGGATGTACTGTCTTGCACAATATCGTCCATATCCCCTGCTGTTGAGTCTGCTAGCAACACCAGTGACTTCAGTTTTGGGTTGATTAATGTGAGATTGGTGAAAGGAATGTAGCTGAAAGTTTATAAGTTTGTATTTGTTATCAGTTAATACATACATTGCTTTGTAGGAATGTATTTTGTTTGTGTGCATTTAAGTCAACATTGATCAATACTTATCGCATGTATCCTATATCCGCAACACACCAAAGAGTAAAAATTAAATGATTGAAGTTTACATCTCAATAAGGTAAATGTATCCCTATTTATCACTAAAATTATTACAAAATTCGTGATTTCCTGTTTTGCTTAGTTATAAAAAATATAAAATGCGTATCGTTATTAAATGTTTATCGTTATAAAATGTGTATCGTTATAAAATGTGTAACTTTATAAAATGTGTATCGTTATAAAATGTGTAACGTTATAAAATGTGTAACGTTATATAATGTGTATCGTTATACAATGTGTAATATTATAAAGAGTTTAGTATTCAGCTTTTCTCGTAGGCTGTTTTCCTATGTTTTTCATTTGATGATTTTTATCGTTATGTTACGTTTTCTTACTAGATGCTCCTTTCTTCATTTCTAGTGTTTATTTTTTATTTGTTATAATTGCATATGTTAACTTACTATTTCATATCTGCCACTACACGCCTGAACACTTTCGGTTTGTTCTTCCTAACCATGGCCTGTGCCATTACAATGTGCGTGCAGAGGTATGGGTCGATCATGTCAGGTGTAAAGGCGCCAATGTCGTATCGTTCTGCGGCCCAAATATCGTAGTAGCAGAGGAGACGCCGTTCTCCAGAGGCTGTCAACACAGAAAATCTCATTCATTCGTAAAACAACGTATACATATATCCAAGGTCCTTGCTATAGAAGGCCAAAAGCTATAAGAGCAAGGACAGTAGATATTTTGATCAAATCATGAAGTGCTTCAACACCAGTTTCCTGACTAAGCACAGTTGTCATTTTCCAAATAGGAGGTACTAAGAAACCCATGTCAAATATTTAACAGACGATAGTCATCTACTACAGTATCGATATATAGATATACGGTAAAATCTTTAAATGTGTAAGTACACTTCAATTTGAGAGAATTCATGATTTACGTAACTCATAATATGCCCTCATATACTACCAAATTAAAATACAAATGCAGATCAAATAGCCTATATTTGTATTGTGAACGAAATGGCATTCACGCCTATCTATAATTCTACATTTGTTTTTAAAATGTTATACAAACAAGATACTAAGTGCTTTGTAAAAATGTTTTCATAGTTTGTTAATAATTTTAACTAAAATAAGAATTCAGTAAAACGACGAGATAATACCGACATGTCAACAAAATCGTAATTCGAATTGAAAATCGATAATACCAGGGCAAAATAATAACAAAAGAAAGATTAAAAGTGTGGAAACGTTAGTTTAAACATGATAAAAGAATGAAGAAGAGGAGAGAGAGCTACTTGCGGGTCGGGAAGGACAAATCTCAACATGGGGGTTAAGACAAAATGTGCAGACAATATTTGCCGCGTCAAAACATTTTTCTGAACAAATAAATTCAGAAAACCAATTTAAATGTTTCAATTCAATTCCCAAGCAAGTTTATATTTACTCATCTTACAACTAGAAATCCTCTCTTTGCTTTAGTCTGCCTATATGTGACGCCACAGCGCGCACAAATTCCAGCGCAGACATCTTACACTGTACATAATGGGGCATATTTGTGTGAGAATCATCTTGATCAAACTTTTGTTTTACAAAATAAGGATTGTGAATTTCGAATCATTTAATAGCTTACATCCGTAATCAGATATCTGTTGACCAGAAGACGGGTCTGTAATTCGACTTGCTCTCAATAAATTGCATATTATAAATCTGAAACCCTTTAAGAAGCAGTCATTGTCTCTCTTACTATACAATCGAACTATCAATTCTTATCCATGGAAAAAATAGCACATAACTCACCACGGTACGATAAACACAACACTACTGCAACGCTAAGAAAAACTTTCAGGTCGACCATCTTTTGTGTTTCTACGATCCGTCTCACGGCCAGGTAACGTTTAACTGTTCAATTAATTGACTCTGATAGTCGACCTCATATAGTGGAGCACGGTACCGCCCTCGTTCTGACTGATCAATGGGCTTGCTACGCTTACGTGTCCTTCCAGCCATACACTGCGTGTGAATGACTAGCGTAGGTGAACGAAATGTTATAGTCTGTTTCGGTGACTGCTCGAGCTTTTAGTAATTTGATTTTCTGTTTAACCAACAAAAAAATATTGAAAAAACATCTCTTAATTTTATATAAATGGTCGGATCCAGGAATTCTAAAATTTAGAAGCGCAGAGTTCTTGTGTGATCTGGGACATCATTGGAGTGTGATTACACTTTTTTATATTATCAAATTTTATGTATTTCTTATTTTATTTCTATTTTTTTGCTTTCTTTCCCAATTGAAACAGTTACATTAAAAACAATTGCCTGTATAATTTTAAAATGGCACTACCGAAATCAGCACACAGCCTTTTGTTTTATTGTTCACACAAAAATTAGATTCAAAAAAATTAGGACAACATCACCTTACAATAATTTATGTGACAAAACGTACTTTGAAAAATGTGTATCGAGGTGTAAAGAGAGACAGAAATGTCGAAAGCTCTGTGTTTGAATGTGGTTGTTAAGATGAAGGTTTTCAGTTAAGATCATAATGTTTAATACCCGAATTCAATTTGTTGATGCTTAAAAGACGGTGTTAAGGAACCAATGATACCTCCCCAACCCACTCCTGACCCATCCCTGTCATACCTTTACGTTGTGTGTCTGGGGGGGNGGGGGGGGGGGGCAAGCAGGTAGACAGGTTGATGGTCCAGATGCTACTTTTATAGTACATGTTTAATTCTCTGATCTCTGATACATGATAACAGTTTTTTACATGTGGTTTACATATTCTATTTTTAATTCAGTTATTTTGAATACTAACGTTAAAGACATCCTGAACTTGTAACAATTATTTCGTATTATATGCAAACATGTTTAGTAATGTAGTACGAAACATTTAATGCAATAAGTAGCATGTTCTACATCAAAGTGACGATATGTCGATATAGTGCTGCCCATGTCCGTCCTGTCCCGTGATCAAAGTGGTACGTGGGCATTCAGCCGAGACAATAAAGTCAACTTATTCTATGAGTGATTCATAGGTGAAAAGTAAATTAAAATGTCAACTTTAAAATTTCCTAGATCAAGATGGCCACTGTGGCTTATATTAAAATGGTTTAATTTTGGAATTCAAGGTGGCCTCTAGGGCCGCAGAAAGTTTACACCTTCAATGGTTTTTGGTATTTCTGTGGCTAACATTTCCAGATTTTTTATATGTAAGATCACATTAAATATTTTAAAGTATCTGTTAGAGGGGTGTTCTCCTGACATATATATGGCAACCATCAAGGTATTTTCAATTGGGCAAATAATCGCTAATACAAACTGTGCATATACGTGTCTTTCCACATTATTCTTCATATACTGTACTATATCAATCATGAATTCGGCTATTAAGAAGAGTATAAGCACTATTAACGCAATCACTGACCCTGATGTTATTGTTGAAGTTGTTTCTCAACTTTTGAATAATGACCTTTCCAAGGACACATTGATTTCTAACTTGGGATCCCTGACATACAGAAACAACTAGCTGATCTCCATAAGAGACAGGACGATCTAGAACAATATTCCCGGAGAACCTGTCTTAAGTTCCGTGGTATTGCCGAGGAAGAACACGAAAGCACTGATACTCTAATTATTGCTGTATGTAACTCTGTTCTTGGTGTGATGGTAACGGAGAGTGATATAAGCCGAACCCACAGAGTGGGTCCCAAGTCTGGTCAATTCCCTCGTGACATCATTGTCCGATTTATCTCGTACCGTGTACGTGCTTCCGTGTACGCTGCCAGATTCTCACTTTCTGCCAAATACTCTGACAAGAGTAAAGGATCCTCCCCCTTCAATCAACATACATACAAGTTATTTGTCAACGAGGCCCTAACGAAGCAGAGAGCGATGGTATTTTCCAAAGCCCGTTATTTAAAATCAACAGGAGCCATATCTGGAACATGGGCCAACGACAGGAGAATTGTCATCAGGCGTAGTAGTGGGACCAAAGCCCAAGTCACCCACCTTAGCGAGTTAGATTCCTACCCCGACCCTCCTCAACAAGAACACCGACACGATCCCACAACCCGTATCAGAACTCTAGCCTCTCAACACGGTCATCGTACACATCCCAACAAACCCGAACAAGCCTGATACTACAGCCTCATTCACTTCAGCCAACCGATTTGACTCTCTTTCCCAGGTTAAATAATCATGTGACCTTATATTCAGTATTATGTTTGACTAAATATCAGTCTGTGTTTTATGAATTTGGTGAATATTACTATTCAGAGTAGGCTACATGTATATGCTGATGACATGGAACTTGTATTGTGACAAATGAAGATACACTATACAAAAAACACAAGTACGTGTATATTTACTATATTTTGTGTTTCAGTATTACTGTAATTTCAATGTGTGTGCTGAAGTATACAACACATACTTCAGCTATTATGCATTTATCTTTGTTTATAATGAATCTATATATAAATATATAAAAAAGCATTCTGTAAGTGATATAATATGAATCTATTGATGCACGTGTGTGCATCTAATCAGTGACCAAAATATCTTTTGTCATGATTTGCTCATGGTGGTACCGGTTATAAATGTTCTACATGCATTATATATATATATATATAACAAAACATTATAACGTGCATTATTTGGTATGAACATTCAGTATAAAATTATTCTATCATACATAATATTTTATATGAAATCATCATTATGACTTATCTGTAATATATGCTATTGTTGTATGACATGCCCTTTGTGTTTACACATATTACTATGTTTGTTATTATAACCCTTTATAATGTATGTCAATTTAATAAGAATATAAAGATCACTATACACGTGTAGAGACCCAAGATAATAAAGGATGTACATCCTATGGTATCATAGAAATGTCACCTGCAAGGGTATGAGACATTTTAACAACCATTATGCTAATATTTTGAACGTCTAGCCTAAGATGTTCTACATCTTATCTTACTTACTCTTCCTGAACTTCACTATGTATAGTTACAAGTATATGGTGTAATGTTGAAAAAAGAAAGAAACTCATTCATAAAGTAACTTTTTTTTTCATTTTTAGTTTCTATAGGCGCATGCAATCTCAACTCTACTGCCACTGTATGTTTACATGCAAGAGCAACTATGTGCTCACTAATAACTACGCATGGCATTGAACTACGCGTACATGTACGTATAAGTCCTTTTCATGTACACGTACGTATTTTATTGGAACTTAGGCCTACCGTTCAAGTGAATATTAAAATCCTATCACTTCAATAAATTATTCATAGCAACTACACATCCTCTTTCTCCTATACTCATTTTTTTATTTAGCTACACGTATGATATACACGTGAAATCAACACGATCGCCTTTCGCGTGCGCTTGTACAAACACCAAGATATTGTTTACGTGTCTCGACCAATTGTTGATCGGCTGGATTTAATTTATAAAAAACATCCCGTTATCTCTATACACTCGCAATAGAAAGACGACTACGCGATTGTGAATTGTTGCAAATGATACTCTAGTGGTGTTTTTCGTTTAGTAAAGCTAATTGCAGGCGTTATTGTGTTGATCACAGGGGCTTGTGGAGTTCAACATAGATATTTCACATACATGTTTTCTCTTATACTTTTACTACTGGTATGTCTATTTAATCGATCAAAACATTCTTATTTTTAATGTTTTACTTTTCTCCATATGTATGCTCTATTGATATTAATGACCATTGCAAGTGTATTATAAAATGATGGATGTATTATATATGTATTACTCGAAGATCTATGCTTTCAAACATCTCAAGCACATTGATGAGTCGTTTCCGCTTCCGTTTAATAACATGTGTTTGTGTGTTATTGTTGTGAGTGTGTGTATGGAGGTTGTATTGTCCTGTCTGTTTTGTTGTTATCTCACATTCTTGCTCAACTACTGTTCATATGTCCCGCCTGAATAATTTTTTACCAGCTGGATGATCGATCCAGCCCACTCTGCCCGCTTTTTCTACATTGACAATGGGTAATATAATAGATGTCCAGGTTTTCGGGACTATGGTAACGGTTGATCACTGGCAGTTTTATAAGCGCATACATATTTATATGGAGCATTGTCATGGCTTTCATTACTCTTATTTACAACTATTGACATGTTTACCTATTTTATCAATATGTTTTACTTTCTTGTTTCGCATTTTATAGTGTTATCCTAATGTTGTGACATTGAAAGTAATACTGGACCTAAACATAATCTGAATCTGGTTCATCTCAATGTACGATCTCTCAGAAATAAAACCCCACTTATTGAAGCCGAGTTTGAAAATAATGATATTGTATGTATAACTGAATCTCACCTAAATCCCCTGATATCTGATTTTGACATTCAAGTACTACCCTTTAATCCAATTCCTCATAGAAAAGATAGAACTACTGGTCCGGGGGGTGGGGTTATAGTGTATCATAACAATACTGTTGTAACAAAAAGAAGGCTGGACATGGAAAGGGATGATGTTGAATTACTCTGGTTAGAAGTTTTAATTAATAATCATAAATTTCTTCTCGGGTGTATTTATAGACCAGATAGTAATATTGAATACTGGGATAAACTTGATGATACCTTAACTAGAGCTTCTGATACTTAATTGGATATTATACTTACATGTGATATTAATATTAATATGCTTAATGTACCACTTAATGATCATTTATCAAGACTCGTTATAAAGCACAACTTAACTAGTCTTATTAATGAACCTACAAAAATAACACCTGATAGTGCCACTTCTATTGATGTCATCTTTACTAACAACCTAAACTTAATTAAAGATGCTTATGTATCACCACCATTCATCAGTTCATGCCCAAATCTCT